CATCATTTCATCTCTTTTCTTTCACATCTAATCACAACTATCATCGCCAATCTCACCTTATTTCTTAATGCATCATTGCATGATTGTTCTATCAAATTGGTATAACAGAGCCCGGTTCCATAATTGTTACAAAAAGACACTCGAAGAATGGGAAATCATGGCAACAACATCTCTACACATTTACCAGTGTTTGAAGGTAAAACGTTCGATTAATGGATTGTGAAGATGAAGGTAATTTTCATGTTTCGAGAGGTTCTTAAAGTAATGAATGAAGGAGTACCAACCTTAACAACCAATGCAACAGAAGAACAACAAGCTGCGCACAAAGAACTGAAGAAGAAGGATGGGAAAGGCATGTTCTTGATACATCAAAGTGTGAGAAATGAGATCTTTGAGAAGATCATGCACTATGAAAGTGCAAAAGAAACATAGGATGCGATGGACAAATTGTATGTTGGTGATGAGAAGCTAAAGAAGGTGAGACTTCAAGTATTGAGGAGGCAGTATGAAGTGCTGACAATGGAAGAAGAAGAAACCATCAGCCAATACCTGGACAAAGTAATCACTCTCACAAACCAGATGACAATGAATGGTGAAAGCTTCACTGATGTGATGAAGGTAGAAAAGGTTCTCAGAACTTTAACACCAAGGTTTGATCACATTGTAGTTGCATTGGAGGAGTCAAAGGATCTAGACTCCATGAAGATTGAAGAATTGCAGGTAAGCCTAGAAGCACATGAACTGAGGTTAACAGATAGGATCAATGAAAGAGGAAAAGTTGCATCTGTGGATCAAGCATTGCAGGCTCAGTATGTGAAGAAAGGAAAGTCCAAGAAGGAGATTCAGTGTTATAATTGCCAAAATGGGGACATTATGCATCTGATTGCAGATCAAAGAGAGTACCAAGGAACAAAGATGAGGCTCAGTTTGCTCAGAATGAAGGATCAAACTCAGATGAAGTGTTGTTGATGGTAACATTCAAGGATGAAGAAGAAAGAAGTGATGAATGGTATCTAGATACAGGGTGTTCCAATCACATGACAGGCAAGAAGTCTTGGTTTTCTGAACTAGATGAATCAGTAAACAGAAGTATTAGATTTGCAGACAATAGCATAGTATGTGCAACTGGGATTGGAAAGATCTTGATCAATGGGAAGGATGGCAAGAAGGCCTGTATTACTGATGTGCTATATGTGCCAAACATGAAGAGTAATCTAATTAGTATTGGCCAGCTATTACAGAAGGGATATACCATGAGAATGGAGGCAAAAGCTATGAATATCTTTGATCACAAGAAAATGATGACCATTGAAGCCCCACTGTCAAAGCAAAGAACCTTCAGGATTAATATGAATGTGATTGAAGATCATTGCCTATTGATTGAGACTAAGCGTGAGGACTGATTATGGCATCAAAGATATGGGCACATCAACTTTAGAGATCTGGATATGCTGCATGAAAGGAAGATGGTGCAAAGCCTACCAAAACTAAAAGTGCCAGAAGAAGTATGTGAAGTATGTTGTACTAGAAAGCAAGGCAGAAGCTCATACAAAGCAGAGGTACCATTCAAAGCAACCAGGAAACTAGAGGTAATTCACTCATATGTTTGTGGACCTTTTGAAGTAAGGTCAGTAGGTGGAAAAAGCTATTTTGTGACATTCATAGATGAACTTACTAGGAAACTGTGGATTTACTTGTTGGTTAAGAAAAGTGAAGTGTTAAATGTGTTTAAGAAGTTCAGATTGCTAGTTCAAAATGAAAGTGGGGAAGTAATTAGTATGCTAAGAAGTGATGGAGGAGGTGAATACAACTCTACTGAATTTCATGAGTTTTGCTCATCAAATGGCATTAGTCATGAAATCACTGCATCTTATACACCTCAACACAATGGGATATCAGAAAGGAAAAATAGAACCCTAGTAAATATGATAAAGAGTATGTTGAAGCAAAATAAAATGCCTCATTCTATGTGGGGTGAAGCAGCTGCTACTGCAGCATATCTCATAAACAGAAGTCCTACAAAGAAGTTGCAGGACAAGACACCGGAGGAAGCATGGAGTGGAGTCAAACCAAGTGTTCAGCATTTAAGGATCTTTGGTTCATTATGTTTCAGATATGTGCCTAATCAACTAAGAAGGAAGTTAGATGATAAATCCCAAGTAATGATTATGGTTGGCTATCATGAAACTGGTGCATACAAACTATATAATCCAAATAATAAGAAGATAGTATTCAGCAAAGATGTAAGATTTGATGAATCAAAGGAATGGGATTGGAAAGAAAAGGTCTCACATAAAGGTAACAATCACTTACCCCTCTCTGACTCAGAGACAGAAGAAGGTGAGATTGAGGAACAAGAAGAAGTTGATGAAGATACATATGAAGAAGGTGCAGAAGTAATCAATAGACCAACAAGGAATACTCAACCACCAGCCAGACTGAGGGACTATAAGAGATTCCCTGATCAAACAGTCACAGATGAGGGTGATATAGTGCAATTAGCAATGCTGGCTGAAACTGAACCAGTGTCTTTTGAAGAAGATTTAAAACAGAAACATTGGAAGATAGCCATGATTGAAGAACTGAGTTCTATAGAAAAGAATAAGACTTGGAAAATAGTTAAATTACCTGCTAACAAGAGGTGTATTGATGTCAAATGGGTTTTTAAGACAAAACTAAGGCCCGATGGGCAAGTGGAAAAATACAAGGCTAGATTAGTGGCAAGAGGATTCCTACAAAGGCATGGACAAGATTACTATGGAGTTTATGCTCTAGTAGAAAGAATGGAAACAATCAGACTGATTGTGGCAATAGCAGTTCAGAATGACTGGTCTATGTATCAGCTAGATGTAAAGTCAGTCTTTTTGAATGGTGAGCTAGAAGAAGAAGTATATGTGAATCAGCCACCAGGATTTGAGATAGAAGGAAAGGAAGAACATGTTTATAAGCTGAACAAAGTCATGTATAGGCTGAAGCAAGCCCCAAGCCCTTGGAACAAGAGAATAGACAGTTTTCTTGTTCAACAAGGTTTCATGAAGTGTGTAAATGAACATGGAATTTATAGTAGGAATACCACATATAATCTCATTGTATGTCTATATGTGGATGACATGATAGTGACTGGAAACAATGAAGCTGAAATGAAGGTTTTTAAGGAAAACATGATGAAGGTATTTGAGATGTCTGACTTAGGCAGACTCACAAACTTCCTAGGAATTGAGTTTGACAGAAATGATCAAGGAATGATTATTCATCAAAGGAAATATGCTCAAGATGTGCTAAAAAGGTTTAACATGGTAAACTGCAAGTCAGCTGCAACTCCTGTTGATACAGGGACAAAGTTATCCTTGGAGAATGATGAAGAGGAAGTAAATCCTACTCTGTTCAAACAGCTTGTTGGTTCCTAAGATACTTGTGTCACACAAGACCTGATATTACATATGGCGTAGGGATGGTCAGCAGGTACATGGTGAAGTCAACCACCTCTCATTTAATCGCAGCCAAGAGGATATTGAGGTATGTGAAGGGTACATACAGGTATGGAATTCAATATTGTAAAGATCAAGGAGGTGAGTTGATAGGCTATTCAGATTCAGATTGGAGTGGTGATAAAGATGACAGGAAGAGTACAGCAGCATATGTGTTTATGATTGGAAATGCAGTCTTTGCATGGAGCTCAAAGAAGGAACTAGTGGTGGCTTTATCCTCATGTGAAGCTGAGTATATAGCAGCTTCCATGGCAGCCTGTCAAGCTCAGTGGACAAACATGTTATTGACTGAATTAAAGCTGATAAAGAATGGAAGAGTAGAACTCAAAGTTGACAGTAAATCAGCCATAGACTTGGCAAAACACCTTGTAGCACATGGTAGAAGCAAGCATATTGAAACCAAATTTCACTTTTTAAAAGAACAAGTGAATAATGGAAAGTTAGAGATGAGCTACTACAAAACAGATGAGCAATTGGCTGACCTGCTCACAAAACCACTAAAAACAAGCAAATTTGATGATCTAAGGATGAAGCTAGGCATGGTGGAAGCATCTAACTAATCGAATTAAGGAGGTGTATTAGCTTAATAGTTTGTTCAGTAGCAGATGTCATAACATCCGTTAAGACATCAACTGTCTATTAGCTTTGTAATTCTGTTAGTTAGTTAAGTCAGTTTGTTAGTTAGTTGGATTGTTATAAAAGCCAATGTTATGTGGTGTACAATGTAATGCAATAATTGCAAGTTTCATACAATTCAATTTTCATCATTTTATCTCTTTTCTTTCACATCTAATCACAACTATCATCACCAATCTCACCTCATTTCTTGATGCATCATTGCATGATTGTTCTATCAGCGTCAACATAGACAGCAATGATGTTTTTTATATAGGTCATCCAAAAATATAAATATATCCATACCATAATAGGTATGTTTTAACATCTCACAAGAGATGAGATATTCAGCCATTTATGTTTTTGAATGTAAATCAATATATCACAATCATTAATATATAACTTAAAGAGTAGTTATGATATAGTAATGTTTAAAATGACCGGACAATTATAATGGATTAACAATATACAAAAAATTTATATTGCCGTAGTATATAATTTTCTTAAGATTTTGAAAGTCAACTCTTCTGCAAGAAATTTCTTAAAGCAGCTAGCAACATCTTAAAACAATATGATTTATTGGATTAATTTACAATACACCCGAAACATGACTTCCACTACCATTTAATGTTAATAATACTTTATTTGAAGCCTAATGATGCACTTGACATTATATAAATCAACATTAGTATAGTCAACTATTACCTCATGTATTACAAATATTGAACAGAGGGATTAGGTGAGGGGAACGGGAAACAAAACAGTCGACCAAACCATAAAATGTGTAAGCAGAACTTTGTTATGTGATTGTGTGAAGGACTTACTGAAGTGCAAGCAAAAGGATCCTTCTCTCAATCTGTACTCATCTCACAGTGCATCTACTTCTTGAGTTAAGGTATGATGCTTTTCTATTCTGAATATCATATTGATGGATACTTGCCTGATCTGTCTACATTATCAGGTTGTCTTTATTTGATGGCAAATATTGTTGGGACGGTTGCAGATAAGGTTGCTACTAATGTTGGAACTAATGTGACAAACTATTTTGCTGGACGAATAATCCGCGAAATACAATACTTGTTCTGTATTGATAATCTAATCGATGATCTTGAAAATGAAAAGATGGCGCTAACCTCTGAAAGAGACAGCTTGAGAGCTCAAATTGTACTAGCAAAGGAGAGAACTGAAGTTATTGAAGAACCAGTAGTGAAGTGGTTGAATGATGTGGAAAATCTCCTTCAAGAGGTCGAGGTTCTTCTGAAGAGGACGGAGAGTGACAACAACTGCTTTCAAGGATGGTTTCCAACATGTGGAAGATATATTTTGTGCAAGCAAATGGCAGAGATGATAGAGGAAATCGAAAAATTCAATGGCAAAAGGTTTAAATGTAGTGACCAAATCACACTGAAATTAAAAGATTGCAGGCAGTTGCACATCTTTTTTCCCAGTGAATGTAAGTTACAAAATCTTAAGATCCTCAGGTTACAAGATTGCAGGACTGATGAAGTGCTTTTCTCAGCATCTGTTGCTCAAAATCTGCAGCAACTAGAAGAACTAAGAATAACAGGTTGCAATGAATTGAAGCATATAATTGCTGCAAGTGGAAGCGAACACGATGGCTGTAATACAAGTGAGGAAATAATTCCAACTTTAATGAATTCTCATTTTCTGATGACCAATCTAAGGGAAGTTAACATTCTCGATTGTGGAAGTTTAGAGTCGTTATTCCCAATTTGTTATGTTGAAGGACTTAAACGATTGCAAAACCTGGAAATAGTATTATCTCCTAAGCTGGAATATGTGTTTGGTGAATATGGTCATGAACACTTTTCATCTCACCAATACGAGAAGCAGGTCATGCTTCCTCGTTTGGAATCTCTCATTCTCTTTCATCTTGACAATTTCATTGGGATGTGTCCAAAGAATTGTCAAGCAAAGTGGCCATCTCAGACTCTGAGGACAGTGGCCATAGTTGATTGTCCAAAATTGGATGTACCATGGCTGAATTTGCAGGTTGGCTATGATAAGAGACAACATCATCATCATCTGAATGAAGTGAGTACTCATTGAAATACTTTATAGCTTTGTAGTATTTATATCATTTCCTTTTTATATTATTTGGTTACTTACCTTCCTTTGGATATTCTATTCAGATTTGGAGTTTCCAATGTCTTCAGCATTTATCAGTAGGCAATAGTGAAAAATTGAAATGTTTTTTCTCCATGGAAACACATAGAAGCCTACCAGAGTTGATTGAACTTAGAGTTTACGATTGTCAAGAATTGGAACAAATTGTTGCAGCAAGCGAAGAACTTGTGCAGCTTCCCAATGCTGAAGTTTATTTTCAGAAGCTAGAATCAATGTATGTCAATAACTGCAACAAGTTGAAAAACCTTTTCCCTCTTGCTATGGTCAGAATGCTTCCACAACTAAGCACACTTACTATAACAAATTGTACTCAACTTGAAGAGGTTTTTAGACATGGCCCCGGAGGAGACAATATTATCGGGGAAAAGGAAGTTGTGCTTCCAAACTTGACAGATATAAAATTGGAAGATCTACCTAATTTTGTAGATATCTGCTATGGTTATAAGTTACATGCAGTTAAACTTCAAGAACTCCGCATATATAACTGTCCCAAAACTGTTGCAAATTTAAAAAACTTCAGGTGACTCTTCTTCCCTGTTAACTAGAATATTGACTTTTTTCTTAATTGCTGAAAACAATCCTCGAAGCTTCATTTTTTATCACTCCTCTTTGCACTGAATTTCTTTCGAGAATTACTAATATGCTGCAAAATCCATATAGAATCAATTCTTTATTCATATAGTGTACTTGGAGTGAAGATATTTCATCAGCTAACTGAAATTTTGATTTTCTTGTTGATAAGGATGAAACTAAAAGAAGACAAAGGTATAGAAGATGAAGATTCTTTTTATTGACGCACGATTTTCACATAAGTAATGTGTAAGAACCAGACCATATCAATGAGGATTTTCAGACATCTTTATTTTATTTGTTTAGACTTCACAACTTGTATTGAATAAGAATGTGGTTAGATGCGAAAACTTCAAATGAGTTGCCCCAATCAGTCATTTTTAATTTGCAGAAAAAGCAACACTCATCATGTTCATGAATAGAATGTATTCATATAATTTTATTAACTCGACTATTTAAGCCATATACATATAATTCTGGTATAACTTATTTTTAAGGTACGAGCAATCTTGGAACAGTTGAATATATTAGTTCCTATACACATAAGTTCCTCCCCATAAAAACTATATGATCAGGTAGGTTTTATATTAACTCTTTACACAACCTATCACATGTGTGGAATATGGATCAGTGCATCATCACATTCACTGCATCGAATCTGCAGCCAATGTCAAATATCATGCATCATCATGAATGTAGGATCCATTTGTTCTGAACTTTCATGCATGTGTATGTTGAGGATCATGCTTACCCTTTAAAATTTCTTCAGAAACTACACATGCCAAAGAAAGTTGTCAATCTGTAAATGTGATCAACTTCTGGTTTAAAGATGCGCCCCAGAGATGCTGCAGCATAGCATGCTTCATATTCTCAAAATGCGCTTTAACTTGTAAACCTGACAAGGTAGAACATAATTCCTTATGAATATAAAATACACATCTTTCTAAATTTCTACACAACATTTGTTTGAAAATTTGTTGATATATGGAATTTGGTAAGTAAACAAAAACTGTTTAATGACTATGTTGATATATGGAATTCTGGCAGTGAACAAAAATTATATACCTGAGCAGTTCTGCTAGGGAGTTGCACTTCTATGCAGTTTCTATGGCCATCCACTCTGTCAATACATGTCACCCGCATCAAAATACGATACGATAACGAAAAGAACACAATCAAAGAGGAGATTCAAGAAGCATGAATACCTTCTGCTTATAGTTCTTTGAAAATATTGGTTCTCTTTAAGGATCCCTTGACCGCCATACTTTATTTCATCCGTGTTCAGAATTAGCTGTATCATCAAAATGTTTCGACAAAGTTAGTTACCCTTCAGCGAGCCTAAAAAATGCTAAACATTTGAGTTTGGATAGATAAACAGTACATGAGTGAGAAAAACATAAGATACACGTGAAGTTCATCACATTTAGTTATGAACTTGATACTCACTTCATATTCCCCGGCTTCTTCGACACCTACTGTGTAACTATCGTAAGAATCTGTTGGATGAAAATTGTAAATGAAGACAAGGGGACCTCTGATGTAAGATATGACCTGCATGATATATGATACACTGTAATAAGCACCTGTGGCATTTCCATAAGCTGTTTTCAGCTTATTTCCAAAAACTTTCAAAGATAACTTATGAAAACAGTTTGAAAGGGTTGGAATGAAAAAACGGTCTACCATTGAACTGTCATTAACATGGTGAAAGGATGGAAAACCCCGCGAGAGCACTCTCTCATTTTTATCCAGCTTCATCATGTCCTGAAAAGAATAAAATGAGTAATTTCATAATCTCCATTTGTTTAAGGGTGAGTTACAAATAAACTAGTGAGAAGGAATAGAAATATCACAAAGCGGATCGAATTAAGACCTTATCAAAGGTAAATAAATCACGGTGAACTCCATCTTTTTCCAAAAGATCCCACTGCCGATTGGCCAGCGAATATGAGTAGTCGTTGCTTGACATTGGAAACTCAACTCTCTGGCACACGTAAAACATTAAAATATTATCAGTTACAAACAGGAGAGTAGCTGTGCATATTTAAAAGGAGTAATCTTCACCTTTGGATGCCCAAATTCATTGCCCATGAAGTTCATATACGCACGGCCGCCAATTGTTAACGTGATCAATCTGATCATCTGGCACAAAAGTATAAAAAAAACGTTGAACTCAAACTTCTAAATTCATGTCTTCACTCCTAAATGGAAAAACTGGAAATTAGTTAAGCATACTTTATGTAATGAGGATCCTCTCAATAAAGACTCCTTATATTGTTTTGAATGCTCGTCAATTTCACCGAACAATACTTCTGCAAGTGACCGCCTTCCAGATATGGACTAGCAGGCAACAAGATAAGAAAAGTTAGATCCACAACGATACCTGAAAAATAAACCTCGCAGATCTTCAAGAAATCAAAAAAGGGTGACTTACCTGGTTGTGATTTTCTGCATACAGGAGCATCTTATCAGCATATTCCTTTTTGGAAACTAATGTGTTAACGATCTGCAGTTTGAGATGCAACAGAAAATAAACTATTGAATTTTTTTTTTCTTTTTAAATTGAGTAATACTAATGGAACCAACAAAAAAAAAACATTTAATAACAAAATTATCGATTATATTCGAGTACAACCTTAGTCATGCTCCATTCACGGTCAGGAACAGTCTCAAGAAAAGTTGACCACATCTCGGGCGCAGAAAGGTTGACATAGTAATCAAATCCAAGTCCACCTTGAGAAGTTGGCTCACATAATCCAGGATAATATGTTGCCTGATCAATAACCGACAAAAAAATTATACAAATCAAGGTGAAGATCAAGGATAATCACTACTTATAAGGAATTAAATTAGGCACCGAAGGAAAGGTCATTGAAACGGGAAGAAAAGTATTGCAGTATAATATATAAATGAAAAGAACATGAAGTGTTACGTCTTCCGCTATTGTGACGATATTTGGGTAAAGAACATGTAGTATCTCATTGGCCATGATAAGATATAATAGTGCATCCTTGTCAACATATTGGTTGCTATACCTGAAAGAAAGTAGAATTTGTAACCAATGCAATTTTCGAATATACCTACAATATTAATAAATTAGAATTGAAGTTTGGAAATGGACTTACTCCTCCAAGTCACCCGTAAACGAAGCAAAACCATTGTGTGTATATATCATAGATGAAAGTGAATGAAACTGGAAACCATCAATTTGATACTCCTCTATCCACCTGTTCAAACATCGTCTCATGAGCAATTATAAATTATAACTACTTGTATACAATGTCTTTGCTTTGCAAATGCATATACCAGGTCAAATTTGATAGAAGGAAATGAAGAACATCAACGTCGCCATATTTGAACATTCTCGTTCCCCAGAACTTGTGTTGTCCCCGTTTACCTATTCAAAAAGTCAAATCACAATTTGCATTTACAGGTTTCCGAATAAAGGCAAAGTCAGCGTAGAAAAGATCAATACAGCACTTTACTTTTCTAAGGTAAAAACAAGCTCAAACTCTCAATTATACAAATGCTCCAACAAAAGCTTATTAATAGCTCATGTATGTTTGTTCCGAGGTGCACCGAGTATCAAAGGAAATTATTTCGCCAGTGTAACTAAATAAAGAGGTTCTAGCAGCGTGAAAAGGTACCAGAATGAAAATAACAGTCGTTAGATCCATCGAACAATGATAATCCAACCATCTCATCTGCAGCGGCGTATGAATGGACGATTTCCATGAAGACAAGCAGTCCTAGTCCTGTAGAGCCAAAAGCAGAGTTAGCAAAATAGTTGTCAATTGTCACCCGTGCAGACATGGGTTTATAGCTATTATCCTTGTATTTCAATGAACTCAAGTAAGGCCAAAAATATAATCCAGCAGCATGTTTTTTCTGTCTCAGTGTCCAATACTAATGATGGTTGCGATTAAATATCTTCTCACCGTGCGCCTCGTCGACTAACCGCTTGAAGTCATCGGGAGTGCCGTATCGACTACTAGTAGCATAAAAATTGGTAACCTGCACCAATAAGATAGAAGTTTGAGCATGTTCCTAACTAAATTTCCTAACTCTTCTTGTGCATTCCAGATATAATAGCCATCCATATCTCTGACTTAACGAAATTCTAGAGGAGCTTAATCGAGCTATAATTACTGTCATAAAATTGATTAAGAATTACAACGACGTTTAACTTACTCGGTACCCAACAGTAAAATAATCCTTGTGTTCGACAACTCCAATCAACTGGATTGCATTGTAACCAGCTTCTTTTATGTAAGGGAGAGTCTGTGTTACGTATATAATAAAAGTTGGTTATACAACGGAGATATGTATAAATCATAATGGTTTAACAAAGGAGTAAAGAAAAACAAAGGAACCTTGTCTGCAAAATCATTGAACGAGGATATTTTTGGCTCAGATCCACTGATTCCAATATGAGCTTCATATATCCGCAATGACTTTGGTACTTTCGGGCTTTTATTTTTCCATTTGTATGCCTCTTCAGGAGGTGGTTCCCAATGAATTGCATAAGCTTGCCTTCCATCTAAATCTGAATGCATAATGTTTGGATAACGCAGAATCAATAAAACGCAAACAAATAAAAATTAATCGATCATAAGGTTTACCTGGCTGCACATATGTAGCCCAAGCAGGTACTCGCTCCAGTGGTCCATTTGAAGTGTTAAAGTAAACCCGGTACTTGCTTCCATGAGGAATACCAGGAATATACTTCTTCAACCACGCCTTCCTGCCTTTACGTGTCTCAAGCCAATACTCTATAGGAGGTTTCAATGCACGAATTCTCTCTTTCCATTCGGGATCAACTTTCACATTAAATATGTCGTAGTTCTTGCCATCATCAATTACAGCATAAGGGGAAGGTCCATTCTTTGCTGCCCATTCCTTATACCTTGTTTCTGCATCTGGTATGTCTCCTAACTCCTCCATGGTTTGAGGT